AAAATATAATTTTTATAGTTATATAAAGTAAAATATAAATATTATTTTATGCTACCAAAATTATAAAAAAATAATAAAATTTCTAAATATAAAATTATTTTAAAAAATATTATATTTCTTTATATATATATATATATACACACACATTGATATAATGATTAATTAAATTAGCTTTAATAAATTTAAATTAAAAACAAAAAACCCATTAATTTGATAATTGATGAACACATAAAAACCCATTAGTTTTAATAAACATAACCAAGCCTGTAAACATGTTTACAAAGAGTCTGCAACGAGCAATTCTTTCTGCTTCGAGTTCCAGCCTTCAAGAGCAGAATGTGCAATTTTCTTTTTGGAGGCAAAATGTCTCCATTTTTGCTGCACAGACGTCTTCTTTCTTCTTCTTCTCCTTCCTCCTCTTCTACGAAAAACTACTATAACAAATGGAACATCAAGCAAGTCAGTAAGTCCAACTTCAGCGACTCCCTCGAAGAAATTAGGTCCCACATTTATTCTTCCGACTTCGTCGCCGTTTTCCTCCAGAACACCGGCTCCTCCTCTGCCTCGTGGCACCGCGTTTCCCCTTTCGACACCCCCTACACAGCTTACCTGAAAGCCAAGTACGCCGCGGACCGCTTCCAGATCCTCCAGTTCGCTGTCTGCCCCTTCTCCGTTCGGGAATCCAAACTCACCGCTTATCCGTACTCTTCCTCTATTTAGTTTTATTTTCTTTCCCGGAGATTAGTAATTTATATTTGCATGAGAATCATGTTTTCTTTTTTTTTTTTTGTTGTTGTTTTTTTATAATTGGGGAGCTGCAGGTATAATTTTCATTTATTTCCAAGGGATGAATTGAAGTTAGGGATGCCGTCTTATAGCTTTTCATGTCAAGCCTCGTACTTGACGGCCATGGCTAGGGAAGGCTTTGATTTTAATACCTGCATCTATGATGGTAATGCTTATACTCTATTTCTTTCGATCACTATGCTAAGTGAATGTCTAATAAATGACACTGGATTAACTTGTTGCTCAATCAGTAATTTTACTTCTATTATTTATCACAAAAGCTCACACACCAATCACGCATAATTGTCTTAGACGAGATAAGAAATGGTTAAACTAAGAAATGGTCAAGTAGATGATTGAAGGGTTGTTCTTATTGATGGTGTTTGATAATGTTTTGGTAGGAATATCATACTTATCTAGAGTGCAGGAGTCTGCGGCAAAATCTCGTTTAGGAAATCCAATTCCCATTAGTACAGTGATGAAATCTTCTCCTTCTCCTAGTGTTGCTGATTCACTTTTCATGCAAAGGATCAAATTACGCGTTCAGCATTGGAAAAAAGCTTGTACAGACTCCAGAATGAAGACAGATGGTCGCGTTCTCACAGTTTTATGTTTAAGCTATATTTGGTCCTTATCTTTTATATTTTCATTTCTCATCTGCAGAGGCTCTTGTCAAATCTTTGAGGATCTTGTCTTGGGAATTGAGGAGTATGGATCAAGGCCGTGCATGACTATTGATGTTTGCAGTGAGAATCAAGTGCAACTTGCTTTAGAGGTAGGTTAAATTAATTGAATTTAAGATCTAACTGATGTAAAGTCTTTCTGTGTCCTGTTTGTTATAACTGGATGGAGTTTATGTGCTTTCCTTCAATGAGCAATATCTTGAAATCTGTCTGGGTTGCTACAGATTTTGTCAGAGTTCTCTGATGACCTTGTTCCTTTATTAATCCCTTCCAAAGGCGGAGGAACCCAGGCAGTCCGTGTTGTTTTGACAAGTTCAAAGGAGGACAGGAATCTTTTTGAGGTAGTGAGTAAATTTCATTTCTTTGATTGTGATGAAGGGTCTAGGTATGTTGCTATAATACCTTAATTTCCTTTCACAGAAGGAGCTTCAGAATCTTGACGTTGAACAAAATAAAAGAGTCCGTGGTTTTCGAGAGGTGATCGATTTGATTTCTGCTTCACAGAAACCTGTTGTCTCCCTCAATTCCCTTAATGGTCTATCTCTTTGATGATATTACATTTGAATCCTTCTGTCTTCTTCTGAACTATATGCCTAATATTATGTCCTTCCTCTATGCAGACTTTACTTTTATTTATTCCAAATTCGTTGCTCCCCTACCTCTGAGCATGGATGAATTTGTCAGTTCGCTGCAATCAGTTTTTCCACACATAATTGATGTCAACCAGATGATGAAAGAAATTAATCCTCTAAAAAAAGTGAAAAATATATCTACAGCCATGTCATACCTGAAGAATCGATTCTCTGCAGCAGTTGATATGGAAATTCGAAGCCAAGGTCAGCTACTCACACTGGTTTTCTTCTGCACTGGCACATTATACATAAATGCTCACACATTCGCATGTACAGACATAAAATTGCATGTTTGGCATCTTCATGAATTTGTCCCCTGTTTTACTCGTCCAAAAGAAGGATGGGACTTATGGTGAGCTCAATTGCATCACAGGAAAAAATAAAGTTCTAATTCTTACCATTGATGATCTATTGGATGAGTTGAGAGGAGCAGCTGTTTTCTCTAAAATTGATCTAAGAGTTAGTTATCATCATATAAGAGGTAAGAACGATGACGTGCACAAAACAACTTTCGAACTCATTGTAGTCATTATGAATTCAAGGTAATGCCTTTCGGATTGACAAATGAGCTGACTACCTTCCAGGCGCTTAACTACATATTCCAAGAATACTTACGGAAGTTCGTATTAGTGTTCTTTTATGACATTTTAATTTATAGTAGAGATGAGGAACAACATTTTTCAACCAGCTGAGCACAGTAATGGAGGTACTGTGAAGAAACCAATTGTGTGCATAAGAATCCAAATGCTCTTTTTTGCAAATGGATGTGGAGTACTTGGGGCACTTGTCTGCCCCTATGGGTTTGAATTGATCCTTGGAAAATCGAGGCGATGGTGACATGGACCCCGCCTGGATCTGGGTTTTTAGGCGTAATTGGCTATTACCGATGGTTTTTAAAGACTAAGGGGTGATAAGTAAGCCTTTAACAGATTTGTTGAAGGAAAAAATTGCTTTCTCTTAGGCTAAGCACGCACTGGAAGCTTTTAATAAGTTGAAAAAGGTGATGACAGAGAGTCCATGCTCCAACTCTTAAATTTTTTGAAACTGTTCGAAGTAGAGACAGATGCAAGTGGAATTGGCATTGGAGCCGTGTTAATGGAAGAAGATAGGCCACTGCCTTTCATTAATGAGGCATTGAGCCTCCGAAATCAGGGTAATCGGTGTATGAGAAGGAATTTTTGCCTGTGTTGTATGTGGTGACAAAATAGTGACATAACTTGGGAGGCTGGCTGTTTTGTTATCAGTTCTGACCAACAAAACCTTAGGTACTTTTTGGAACAAAGGGTAACCTCAATGATGCTGCAAAGGAGGGTAGTTAAGCTCTTGGGACTTGATTATGCAGTACAATACAAGAAGGGGACCAGAAATAAAGTGGCTGACAACTTGTCTAGGCGAATGGAGGAAGAAACAACTTAGGTGCGTGCAGTGGTAATCACAGCTAGTCCTACATGGGGTTTCAGAAGCATTGGCTAGTTACAAAGGCGATTCCTTTGTAAATAATTTATTGCAAGAACTAATTCTTACATTAGACAACCATCCTCCATTTTGTTTGCAGAATGGAATTTTGTGTATAAGTGTAACACCCAGGAAATATCCAAGTTACCCTTAATGAGAGACATAAATCAGATGGCTGTGAGTCTATCCCTAGATCTAACGGCTCTCCTCCACCCCTATCCCATATAAATAACATTCTTGCACTGAGTGAAAACCCTAGAAGAGGGAAAGCCGCTAGGCATAGAGAGGAGAAGAGAGAGGGAGTTGAGAGGGGGGGTTGATCTGGGAGAGAGAAGGCGACGCGTAAGGAAAAGTGCGATGGACCCCAGCATCACCGCGACCATAGAGCATGTTTTCATCCAGTAAGGTATATTCATTTAGAATCTATGAGCAATTAGTGTTCAGGGAATCCATTCTTTTCAACGTAGTACGTGCTTTCAGGTCACGGTGGAGAGGAGCCAACACCACCATGAACAAAACACTAAGCGAGACGCTAGGGTAAGTTTCATCTAACCTGCTAACCTAGATTGTGAATTAGTGCAATCTAAACTATGTTTTAAATTTAATGGTATGATAAAATTGAAACTATAAGAGATATGATATTTATTATTGTCATTATTGGAATGTATATAAGTTGTGATTCCATTGGGATCTTATGCGAATAGGAAGAGCCGTGACTTGTTGGTGAGGACAATGGTTGAGAACCAGTGAGAACGGCGAAGGAGAAGACTCCAAGTGGGTCGGGTTCTGAGTTCAGTTTTGGGTTCCCAGTGAGCTGAGATTGGGCTTGATAGTGGGCTTAAACCAAATCGCAAACGGGCCAAACATGGGGAAACAATCCTGACCTAGCAAGAAGTCCAAGATCCTTAAAAAAAACATGAGTGAGCCGAGCCCAAAAAATAAGAGAGCTAGTCCTAATAAATTAACCCCAAAGTCTTAAAATGAGCCTATTTTGAAAAGCCCAAACGAATGAAGCTAATTCACTTTGTGAAGCTAAAAAATAAAACCTTTTAAAAACAGGGAACATTAATTAGAGTAAACCAAGTGACACTTAAGAAAATGGATCTATATATGGGTTTGGATCCATAATAAAATTTAAGAATAATATGACAAATAAATTAGATAATAACGGAATAACGAGTTGTGTCAAAAACTGAAGTTCAGTAAAAATAAAAGAAAATAAGCTTATAATAGGGACAACGGGTTAATAGCTCGAATAATTCAAAATAAATGAAAGAGATGATTTTAAATGGGTTAATATCTAGATTGATATACGTATTGGACTTGACTAGTTTTAAATTTGACAGGGGGCTTGGTCCTTGGTACATAATAAGGTTGGGAATGATGACAAAATTACTATAATTAAAATTTGGTAGACAATAACAAGTAACATTATATACAATGAAGCTTCATGCATATTTATTAGTAAATGATTGGTATATAAATACAGCTTAAGTCTAAACAAGGGATAAATAAAATTAACTAGAATTAAAAAAAGAATATTACGAGATATTCGGAATAAGACAATAGTAGGGATGATAAGAGTATTGCTAAACTTAAACAGAGAAGTATATGTAAGAAAGGAAGGATTAGTAAGTAACATATAATAAATAAATGAATACAAAATGAAGGTTGATGGAAGGAGTATTTAGCAAGATATTGAGAAAATGCAGGTAAAATGAGATAAAAAGAAAAACATAAGTTATGAGAATGTGGTGTATTTGAATTGGTATATTGTTTAATCATCTATCAATGAGGGTCATGTGCATGTGTTGCCGTGATACGGTCGATATGGTGGATATGATTGATGTGAACTCTTTCACGTGGATGAGAGAGATTATTGATGGTAATGTGCATTGTACTTGCTGTGTGATCTCGCACGAATGCAATTACTTTTTTAGTCTTTGTATTAGTGAGGATACAATTGTGACTGCAATGGTTGTGCTTTTGGGAGGGTGATGTGTTTGTGTGGCCGGTTACGATCGAGTGATGAACCCGTCCCAAAGAGCGTATAATATACTATACCATATTGGGTGAGCAGAAGGGTGTGTGTGTGTGTGGCCATTATGGTCAAGTGTGAGCCCCGTCTGTTGGTAGTATCGTATGGTTTTCCTTGACATTTATTAGTAATTTGTGTTCACGTGTTAGTAGTAGTATTAAATATTCCCCCTTGATAATGATGTAAACGACATCGTACGATGAGACACCAGTGTCCACTTGTGATATAAGAGATAAGGGTATATTAAATAGGTATTTACATTTACAAATCTTTGACACTGAAATTGTTGTGTTTGTTAGGAGAGAAGTGAGGATAATTATAACATGAGTATAATAATTGAAAATTTGAAATTTGTAATAATTTATATTATTTGATATTTCAATAGAAAAATTTAATTGTTAGGTGGAGTAAGAGTAAATGAACAATAATTATTTAAAAAAAATAAGAGTAAATGAACAATAATTATTTTAAAAAAAAGAGTAAATGAACAATAATAGTAAAAATATGAGAATTGACACCAACACATTTAGGTAACTACAAAGGAAACACCCAAACTTTTAAGAAATTAAAGGAGACATAAATTTAGACGCTCTTGGGGGTAGAGTGTAGGAAGACTCATTTGTACTAATTACAATTTGTAAATTATCTTGTTAAATGAGTTTTACTGAGCACGTGTTGCTCACCCCGTTGTATTCTTCCATAGCAGGAAATTTCACAATTAGATCCAAATCAGTTAAAACAGTGATTAGATCCCTGATGCATGCGGAGGTCACGCAGTCCATAAAGGGTATTGAGATTATGTTTACAAACTCATAAAATTTATATAATTTTGAGAATGTAGGTGTCCGATGGGATGATGTAAGTATTTGTAATAAAGTTACAAGTGAAATGCACTTGAATTCATCATTTTTTAAAATGAACTATCGCACACTTTTAAATGATTTAATACAATTAGACACTCGTGACTCTATTTAAGTTACGGGTCATTACAGTAAGGGTGTCACAACTCAGCTATTGGAGTTCATTGGGGGTTAAGGTGACTTATGAACGCGTTAAGCAACAATTTTTTTTGCCAAGGGGCAAAACAAGTGATTTAATGCATTCATTGCTGTGAAGTGTCAGTGCTGTAAGGCATAGCGTGTTCCCTTATCGGGCCTATCATAGGCACTGCTAGTTCGTATGCAGGACTTGGTACATGTTTCCTTCGACTTCATCGAACATTTGCCAATTTTTGAATCCAAGGAAACTATCTTGGTGACACTGGACATGTTTACCAAGTATGGGCACTTTATAACCCTAAAACACCCTTTCTCTGCACAAGGAGTCACTTGGGTGTATTTGAAAACTGCCCATAGACTACATGGAGTTCTAAAATTGATGGTTTCTGATCAGGACAAGTTTTTTACAAGCCTCTTTTAGAAAGAGTTGATTTGATTAATGAGTACTACCTTGCATTTTTAGTTCCACGTACCACCCGCAAAGGAATAGGCAAATTGAACGTCTCAATCAGTGTTTGAACTGTATTTGCAGTTTATGTCACACCACCGACCCAAGTCCTAGGCTAAGTGGCTCTCTTTAGCTGAATGGTGGTACATTGCCACGTTCAACTTGAGTTTGAAGATGTATCCTTTTCGATCCTTTATGGATGCAGTCCTCCTTACTTTTTGGGCTCTGTTGGTATCCACACCCCCTTACAGGCGGTGGAAGAGTTCATGCTTGAGAGACTGCTGATGAGCCATGAGATTTGGCAACTAATTTCGGCTCAACATAGGGCCAAGCAATATGCAGACATGCGTCATAGTGAGTACGCATTTCAGATTCATGATATGGTCTTATTGAAGTTGCAACTTTACAGGCAAGGTTTAGTCTACCAGACCAGATATTCCAAGCTCTCTCCTCGTTTTTATAAGCCTTTTGAATCGTATATAAAGTAGGGGAAGCTGCCTACCGGTTGGCTCTGTCAGAGAACTCGCATATTCACCAGTTGTTTCATGTGTCCCAACTGCAAAAATACGTGCCAGGCAAGCAGTTGTATTTCTAGGATCTTCCTTAGTTGGATTCTGAAGGAACAGTGATGGTGTCACCCAACAGAATTTTACAGACTCGAAAAATTGTTCGAGGCTGTAAGGAAGTAGAATAAGTCCTTGTCCAGTGGATTGACACAACTCTAGATGACAGCACTTGGGAGGGTAAGGACCTTTTTATGCAATAGTTTCCTAAATTCAACAATGGGAACAAGGTTGCTGTCTAAAGGAGGGTATTGTGAGTTTTGGGAAACCTTTTAAGGTATACCAGAGACGTCATGTTATGTAATAAATCAGGTAAAATGGTTGTTATTGTACTTGACTGGTATAGGTAAGATCATGGGACCAATTAGTAAGCATGGTTATTGCAAAGGCTCGTATATAAATAGAGGAATGTCGGTTAGATTGTATCAAGATTGAACTAAAGGAAACTTACTGATGTCTACCATATTTTATTAGTTAATTATTTAATTAGTTGATATTTATTATTTAATTAGTTAGTATTATGTAATTAAGATTTTATGAAAATAATAATTTTATATAATTAGAAGTTTAGTAAAATAAAAATTTATTTATTAATAAAATAAAAAGTTTATAAATATCTTAAGTGTAATAACATTGAGCGTGAGAAATAAAATTATTTTTTCTTCTAAAATCTTCACTTACATTCTCAGTTCTCTCTGACTATCTTTCTCTTACTTCTCTCCCTTATCTCTCTCTTTTTAAGTTCTTCTCTCATCCAAACCTACTTCATTTTTCAGAGCTTATGTTGAAGGCTCTTGCAGAAGTTTCTGCAATTCTACATGGTAGTACTATGGGGGGAAATTTTCCATGGTTTCCCCCATCCTTGGAGCAGTCATATATAATGGAGCGAGAATGACCTTTTCTGTTGAAATATTACTAATCTACACTGCTTGACTGTTCTTGTGTATGATTCTTATCCATGAATGATCAATGATCACTTGGTGATATCTGCTTCAGAGTGTTTTGACTTCTATACACTGTATTTGGATTTGTCAGCTACAGTGAATGAAGGGAAGATTCATGGGCATAACGTGGTACTGATATGTCAGTTCTTCACAAAACTATGCTTCCTATTGAAAATCACTCCAAATTCTGTCCAGGCGAGTGCTGAATGTATGAAAGAGTATGCCAAAGTATTTAATCTATGCCTTACGAGTTCAGAGGAGTTACTTGATGATCGAGATGTCAAAGTCTGGACTAGCAACACCAGGAAAGTGAGCTGTGAAAATCTAGTTTTCCTATGGGGATTTAGGAGTGGGATATCAGCTGGAATGCTGAAGAGCCTGCTTCAAGGTTCCCATGAAGTCTTCTCAAATGAATTTGATGTTCGCTTAGTGGATAAGAGCTGTGCCATTGTAGTTTTCTGGCAATCTATTTTGTCTGAAACCTTGTTGCATTTACTTAACAGTGAAGAACTTAGTGGATTTCTAAGAGAGATGGTTGCAGATGGGCTGAGAGCAGCAGTTATGAAACTTACCAGAGAGCCTGTGAATTGAGTTTATTCGGAGCAGATTTAGCAGATTCATTGGACAAAACCTTGGAAGACCCCCCAGACTGCTTCTTCGAGAAAAATCCTGAAATGAGCCATCAGAGTTTTGTTGGTGCAGTGAGTCAGTGATTAACCTGATGACCTTTGAGTTTAGTTTATATCTGTAGTTAGTGGTAATCTGCCAAACATTAAGGTGATGGTAACCCGGGAAATAGTGGTAGCAATTATGAAACAGAAGTTAGTGCTGATGTTATAATGGTTCTCAATTTATTTATATTCATCGGATTCTTATATTTTTTCTCATTTTTATATTATTCAAGTCCTGGTGCTATTTTTCGGAAGGTTAATGCCTACCATTCTGATGGAAAAAAAACATAAAGAAGTTGATCACTTAAAATGCCTGTTAAACCAAAACAAAACTTCAAAAAAGAAATGTAGGTGTGTTATATGGTATCTGCATGTGCTTTATACTCATGTTAATGAGAAAGGCCTTCTTGATCCAGAGTGTGGACTTAGGCAAAAGAAAAAAAAAAAGAGATTATAAAGAGGTCAAACAATTTTCTGAAGAAGAATCTCTCAAGGTCTTCATGGAGAGATCTCTGTCAGGAACCTGAGACATGGATCTGAACAATAGGAATTAATATAAGAAAACAGAGAGTATTAATTAGGAAATTAGGGAAAGGAGTTGGGGAAAAATTGACAGACTCAAGGTCTTTATTCTTTCAGAAATTCATCAATAATCTTGCATTCTACAGAATCATTGTTTGTACACTTTCCTCAATGATCAGCTTCCATCTGTTAAATGCTTCCCCGGAATACAAATGGAGAAAATCAAATGAGTAACAGTTCAATTAATCGAGAAAACCATCTAGATATTCTAACTATCAAAACTCAGCAGTTATAAGCTAATTAATAACAACAGTAAATGAATAAAACGAGAATACAGGCAAATAAGTAAAAATTCGACTCAAAACTGTCAGCAGGTCTTGGCAATCTCTCTCTGTCTTCCAGTCCTTGATTTTCTTCTGTTTCAAAAATTAGACATTCCTAAAAAAAAAAAGAAAATTAATTATTTCTTTGACAAGAGGAAAAGCTGTAAATCAACATGTGAGCTAAGCTAGATGGAGATGCTATTGGGGATTCCTTTTCTTGAGATGTATCCTTGAGATACATGACTTGGAACATCAGGATACAGAAGTCTGCAAGTAATTAAATGGAGATGCTACTGGGGATCCCTTTTCCTGATATGTAAGCTTTGGATGCATGGTTGAATGTATCTGGATACAAGAGTGTGTAAGTCATTCCAGCAGGTCCAAATCTGTTGGCAAGTTGGATATTTTTATTCCTCTCTGAGATTTTTTCCTGGATGTCGCCAAGCCTTTGTTGGAACTCTGCAAACGCTGCGAGTGCTAGTTGGCTGTCAGTCCACTTTGGCGACGACCTCTGACCCAAGTAAACTTGATCGGATGCATGTCGTGACAAAACCTCCATTAGAGCCACAGTAAGAGCCATCTGAAATTTGTCAGGCAAAGTCTCTAGGTAATACTTTTCAGGAGCCTCTTCGAGGGTTTTATACTCTTCCGTCCCTTCTTTAGGGATGGGTTTTCGACAAAGGGTTGGACGGTTCGGAGGGTAACCGGCATAAGCATATTGGCCAAAGTTGATAGCAGCATGAAAAGCAGATGCAATCCAGATGAGAGTTGTTAGAGTTTGTATCAAATCAGATCGACCTTTGATCATCTGGGACCCCCATTCCTTATCACCATGGCCAACCTCTCTTATTTCTTTCCACCATGCTTGGATCTCTTCATCAGACTCTACAGAACTATCATCTTCATAAAAGATGCAACAAAAATCTGCAACCCACATCTGGATTGCTCTCCATATCTCAAGTCCATCAACGGCATAGGGATAGTCCTCCACCTTAAGCTCCAACCTGGGGTATTTTTGTCTTGCATTTTCTTCTAATTTTGCCATAATATATGGGTTTTTTCGAATTGATTTAGCGAATAGCTTTGACAAGGACGGGTCTTTTTTTATTTTATCCACTATGGTAGCAGCCGAAGATGGTTTTTCTATGAATAGTTTAGTCAAGTTATGGACTGAATATGGGTCTTTTTCGATTCCTGTAGCTGCCCTAACGGGAATAAATGAGACTTCTTGGAGCAGTTCTTCCCATAATTTTCCCTCACAGTTACAGGAGCTGTTTAATTTTCCGAGTTCTACAGCCAACCAAAAGGCCATAGATTTGAGAGTTTGAACTATTCTAGACAAGTTTGAAAACAGCTGTAAGTCCGACTTTGAATCTTCTCCACCCGACACATTACTTGCCATACCTCTGTAAAAATAGTGCTTATTCTTTACACATTGAAAAGAATTCATATATATATATATGTATAGATTAACAGAATAGTTAAATTTTCAGTTATTCTCTGTAGAATGTAGCGTCAAATTCTGCTTTTAGTTATACTAGGAACGGAAACTAATATATTAATGGATATTCTTTACCCAGAAATAATTGTTAAAATAAGGTGTAGAATCCATATGTGATGAACAGAAGAGTCGGGTGTAAAAAAAATGAAAAAGAATATTACCTTTTGACAAGATCAGTAGGGAGCGCTTGTTCTTCAAATCTCCATTCCTTGTAGAGTTGAGAAGACAACTCCATGGAAAATTTGCCTGTAAACAATATGTTCTCAAAGATCCCCCCTGAGTTTATAACAAAGGTTCGTGCCAGTGCATTTATATGCATGGTGTGTTTAAAATGAGGATCCAATAGCCTATGAATTGGGTGCACCACGCTTAGCTGCCTTCTAGTAGCAATGATAAATGGCTCCACCACTGCATGAGTATGCAACCTGCAGAAAATATTATTCACGAATTAGGTAAGTTAAATACAAAGAGAATTGGTAATGGAAAATTGGTAAATTTTTACCAATGGGTAATTAGTTGATGGTATGCAGAATCATTAGCTGCAACATGAGCTTTGGCAAGTTTCCAAGTAAGCTCATCTCTGTCAGTGTGTAGTGGAAGAAACCGGTGAACAGAATCCGGATCACCATTTGTAAGTTGTATTTCCGTTGGAACTAGTGTGTCATCATACAACTTGAGTATTGTCCGAGATGCATAAGCATAAATACCACCATGACCATGCTTGTCGCCATTTATTTTGCTTAGATATGGAATC